TCTTAAACAGCAATTAAAATATTTATATAGAAGTTTTTTAATGATATAGGGAAAGATTTATGAAATAAGTTTATAGGAAATTAAATAAATGTTAAATATTAGAGCACAAGCTCAACTAAATAAAAGGCAAAATAGCAAAAACAAATAGCAGAGATAAATCTACAAAATGTTAATAGTCATTGACTCTATTTAGTGTTAAAATCAATGTGTTGAGTTTTGTGTAGTTTGTCAACTTTTCTGCATTTTATACATATGCTAAAAGGACAATTGTTATATCCATAAACACCCATGCACAAGGAGTGATATTTAAAAAAAAAAAAAAAAAAAAGGTTGCATGGAAAAAAGACCACTTTAGAGACATTCATCCGAACCACCATATGCTCTCTTAGCTTGCATCTCCCATTTCCCCTCGGGCTCTGGCTCTCTCCCTCATTACAGCTCAGTTTCTCATCTTTAGCCACCACATGTAAAAACACATCTCAGCTAGTCCCTGTCTCTGTTGTCCCTCCTCTCGGGGGACTGCTTTCTTCCCTATTTCTGACCTTGGTCCCCTCCCCGCTTTTTTCTGACTGTTTTTGCTTCCAGGTGTGTGAAGGGCCTGAGACTAGTCATAAGGCCTGATCAGTGTTTCTGAGGTTTCGCTTGTGGTAGTACTGGCAGCAGCTTCAATGGGCAAACCAGTCTGCAGCCCAGCCATAACTGAACTTCAGGGTCCAGAATTTCATGGTGTCCATTTTAGTTTTTTATTTCTGTGTGACAAATTACCACACATTTAATGTCTAAAACGACATATATTTATTAGTTCAGCGTTTCAGTGGGTCAGGAGTCTGAGGACAGCTTAGTAAATTCCTCTACTCTGGGTCCTAAAAGGCTACAATCAAGGCATCACCTGCACTGTATTTCTTTTGGGAGCTTGGGGTCCTCCCCTGAGCTCATGTGGCTATTGGAAGACTTCAGCTATATGACTGCCAACTCCCATCATGCCAGCTGTGGCCTGCTCTCAGCTCCTACAGGTTATTCTCAGGTACTCCCCATGTGGCTCTTTCCATAGGTCTTCTCACAACATGGGAGTTTTCTTTATCCAGGCCAGTAGGACCATCTGTTTGCCTCTAAAGTGCTCACTGGGTTAGCTCGGGCCAACACAGGATAATCTCCCTTTTGATTAACTCAAAGTCAACTGGTTAGAGACCTCAATGACATCTGTGGGAAATCTCTTTTGCCAAATAAAGTAATATTACCACAGAAGTGATATCCCATTGTACTCAAAGGTTCTGCCCCCACTCAAAGGGAAGGGGTTAGAAAAGGATGCGGGTCACTGGGGACGATCTTAGAAGTCTGTCTATCATAAGGGTACCTTCCTGGCTGTCACAGACTTGAGGCTCAAGTTCAGTATTCTGCACACTGAGTTGTGTTGACAGGCTATGAATTTTAGATAACTCCTTCATACTTATGATTTCATTTAATTCTTACCTCCGCTTCCTGAGAAATATACTCCTATCTCCAATTTGCCAATGAGGAAACTGGAGGAAAGAGAGCTTAAAAAGAAGTCCAAGGTCACATTGCTAGAAAATAGAACTTGAAACCCAGATCCTCTGACTCTAAAGAGTATGCTCTTTCTCCCACATCACTTTTCTGGAGTAATCACTGAGACAGACCTGAGTTCAGTTTGGGGCCTCACCTAATTAGGGAGAAAGTCACCTCTCACCTCATCTGAGTCTGCAGTACAACATAGAACTTAAAGACAAATTCATTAGAGCCAGACTGCCTGGGTTCAAATTCTAGCTCCAACATTTACAAGCAGTACAATCCTGTGCAAGTTACTGAATTTTTCAGTTCTTCAATGATCTTATCTAAAAAATGGAAATAATGAAAGTATAAATCTAATTGAGTTGTTGTAGATTTTAAACGAGTTAATGTCAGAAAAGTACTTGGCACATTGAAGCACTACATTAGTCTTGGCTGTTATTATAATTGATCTATTATATTTTGACTAATGGAGAGTTTGGATTACTACTCTACATTGAACCAACCCATCGTCTCACTTTTCTGGGCTTTAGCTTATCTGTAATTTTTAATATTATTTAATTGTCAAAAATGTAATTTATAATGGAAAGAATACATTTAAAAGTTTTAAAAATCTGTAACCCACAGGAAAGACCAAAGAACTAGTCAAGTAAAAAAAAACAAAACCAAACCCTAAGTTTTGTATATTTACTTTTTTAAAATGAGGGAAACACCGCAGATTCAGTTGACTGTAGAATATTAAGAATAAAAATATAGAAACATTTTTAGTATCATATCAATTTTTAAATGGGCTTTAATCCCATATTATGACCAAGAGAAAAAGAGATGCAAACAGATAGGAACAGGAAGCTGAGGGAAAGACATAGAGGATGAAAGGAACCTGAAAGAAAGTTAAAGGATGAGATGAAAGGGAATAGAACACCATAGAAGAAAAGAGAAAGACAATGAGGCAAGAGCAGAAAAACGTCTACTGAGAGATAGAGATGGACATAAGAAAAAGGGGGCAATATTGCTAAAATTTATTGAGCCAATACAAAGACCACTGGATAGAGGTCACAAGGAAGAAAAATGTGGCTCAGTAGAAAAATAACAAATTTTATAATGGTTAGAGTTTTCCCTCAAATTGTGAAAACTTTGATTTGAGAGTTTTTAGGCAGAGACTACATGATAGAGGGGATTCTACTATTAAATGAGAGATCAGAGATTACGTAAGTGACATCCGGGACTAGTTTTTGTATGTATTCAAAGCTAGCTGAATGATCTTCTAAAAGTCTTTAAGCCAAAATTTCCTGAGTCCATATTATAATAGCCATAATAATAGTACATACTGTTGTCAGTATAGATTATTGTGTGTCTGTGTTTATCTATATTTTATTTCTATCCATTATCTATCTATCTATCTATCTATCTATCTATCTATCTATCTATCTATCATCTATCATCTATCTTAGTACAATGCCCCGCATGTGGAAAAGCTAAATAATTATAGGCTATCATCATGTGCCTTCTCTTTACAACTATAGAATGCTGCTTCCAGAACAGCACAACTTCCTTTTATCTCTGTAGACATACTATGGCCACCCATGCTTGCAGGCAAAGAATGGTGTCACTCTCAGAGATTCCACTTTCCTTTCTTAACTGTAGGCAAAGCACGAGTACAAATTCATAATTGTGGCCCATCGATTTTGGAATGACCCTCTAAAAGCTCTATTCCTAAACCTTTGTAATGGAGCTTATCCAGAATCCAATATTAGCAAATCCAATTCCCATCATGGCTCACAGAATGACACAGCATCTATTTCACACTGTTCATTCTGTAGCATGGATATTTCCTTACTCAGATATTAATTTCCTCAAATCAGTTTGAAAATCCTATTGTCAAAAAGCATGTGTTTCCTGAGAGTCACTCATTTCTTTTCTTGTTGAGAGGAGATGCAGGAGTACCTGGAAAAAAATTGTGATTCTCTTCTACAAGCTGCAAAGATGCAGCTGTCAAAAGTAATCACTTCATCAGAAAAACTGAGTAGAGTACAAAGGTGTCCTTAGCTGCTTTATAAGGAAAACAGTGAGCTAGCTTACTTATGCTAAATGGAGAAACAGACTGAGGAAGGCCAACAAAGCTTACATTGCTGCTGTTTGGGTCATTGACCTCATAGTGGCTCCATGCAAGCTAAAGCCATACTTACCTAAAGGACTTTGCTTGTGCTACCCTCCCCGCTCATTAATTCATCCTCCTCCTTCCTCTTCTCATTTCTTTCACTCATTCATTCATTCAAAAATTCATTCTTTCAGCAAGAATTTATTGATCCACTTTTATATATAACTGCCTGGTCCGAGAAGATTTACAATCTGGTAGAGGCGCTAAAATAACATGAGGACATTATTTTCTCCCCAAGGAAATGTCTCCTAATTGTTCCGATCCACAATCTCGTTTTGCTAGAGTTTTGCCCTCAGATAGAATTTTATTTTATTTACTAATTGCCCCATATGGGTAACTCTTAATTCCCCAAATAATCTTCAGTTCTTCAAAGAGAGGGGCCCTGACTCAGCAGCTACTACTCCCATCTGAGCAGTATCTGGCTCCACTCCATCCAACTACTTAATCTCACCTTGTGGGCATCATCCAAGCCAACTTTGTTTCAGTCTTTGTTGGGATAACTTGCTCTTTCTCCCTCTGTTCTCATCCACATTTGTGGGGATTGTGAAATCTGTATTATTTACTCTCTCTCTCTCTCTCTCTCTCTCTCTCTCTCTCTCTCTCTCTCTCTCTCTCTTTATATATATTGATTTCAGAGAGGAAGGAAGAGGGAAAAATATAGAAACATCAATGATGAGAGAGAGAATCATTTATTGACTGCCTTCTGCATACCTCCTCCTGGGGATGGCGCCAGCAACACGGGCATGTGCGCTGACCAGGAATTAACTGTGACCTCCTGGTTCCTAGGTTGACACTCAACCACTGAGCCACATTGGCCAGGCTTAATTATTTTTTAAGACACAGAAGGGAATCTTCCTTTGGAACAGTTTTATAGATGCTGTCCAAACTCCTACCAAAGACCTTATAAATAGCTTCTGAATCTATAAGTGTACACAGTGTCTATACACATTGCATTATTTGCTAATATTACTTAAATAGAAAAATAATTTTTTCTATACATTTTATTATTTTCTCATCAGCTCATAGGATTCTTCTGTCTAACCACACTGAAGGCCCCATGGAACAAAAGACATATCTGCATCCCCTTGTCACCGTGCCTGGACCACTATTGAATATGGTAGCCATCAACAAATTATATACTACTTCAAATTCAACAAATAATAAGAGATCTGCAAAGTCGTTACAGAAAGCTTACTTTAACAGCTTTCTCTTTGAAGTACAGAAGTTTTATAGAATTACTATTCTCCAAAGGGACAAATGTATCTCACTGATATGGCAGATTTACTTTCCAAATAATTCTAAGATTTCAGTTCTTTACCTGAGTCTGCCATCCTCTGCTGCAGCACCTCCTGGTATAATCTTCGTAATAAATATGCCAGGGTCATCTCCAATATGGGGATTATCTGTCCCTCCAGCAATACTGAATCCCAGGCCAGAATTCCCCTGTAGAAACAATAAGTAGATATTAAATGATGTACCTGTCACCTAAACCTAGCTCCCCTTGCACTCTGTGTTATCGTCTTACCACTTAAATGGAAATCAGGTGATAACAGTCTTGTGTGCAAAGCTATAAAGTGCACTGTCAGCAAACAAAGGAAGGTCAGGAAAAATACTCAAGTTTGTCCCTGCACCACAAGCATTCAAGCGCCATATATTTTTGCTTTTAAGAAATGCTTCCTTTATAGAGCAATTAAAATGATCATTTTAAAGTAGAAAATAAAAGCATACAAATTGAGGAATATGGAAAGTACAAAGATTATTACGGTCAATTCTACTAATTATAAATTACAAAGAACAAAGAATGGAAGAAAATGAGTTATATGAAAATATTTGATTTGGTAGCACAGTGAAATTGTGGTATTTACATTTTATTATTGTCAGTATTGTTGTTCTGACCATGTTTAGCCATCAAATAACTATGTTCCCATGTATCAAGAAACTTGGACTTCTGAAGTCAGAGTCCCTTCTATAGTCATAATAAATGTAAGAAACCTTTCAGTAACAAACAGGTTTTTATTTGCAGTAGTTATAAAAAATTCTGCAGCAGGTAAATTTGAACAGTTTATATTCTAATAAAGCTTTCATCTCTAGTGTACATATAACCTTTTGAAATTAGTATGTAAGACAATTAAAGTCTCCCTGAAATTCACAAATCGTCTTACTTAATATATTTCTTATTGACATATATCTTAATATCTATCTCCACTGCTATATTGCATTTCCATATTGCATTCAGATTTTTCCCCTAATTTGCATTATATGCTAAATTGTTTCCATACTGCTAGGTAGTTTTTATAATTACCCATTTTATTTTATTATTATTTTTATAATTACTCATTTTAAATGACTAAATAATATTTCATTAAGGTCATATACCACCATTTATTTAAATAGTCCCCTGTCACTGGATATTTAATTTCTCTATATACTCTTATGACAAAGAGAACTTACTAAATTTATGATCACTTGATTAAGTTCTGCTCTTGGGTAAAAGGAGATAAGGACTAAGAACTAAGTAGTTAATACACAAAAGTTAATTAGGGCATGCAATTAGTCAAAAAAGTTCAATGTTAAGATAAGGTCAGTTATAAATTGACAGTATACCACAGCAGACAGCAAGGTAATGTTTAGGAATTTTTATGGATTGAATTAATAAAACTTTAAATTCCAGAGGGTTGTGTTCAGAATTGTACATTTACATTGAGAGGTTAAAATTAATAATGCAACCACAGTAACGAAAATCCCATATTTTCATACTTCTAACATCTATCAAATTTTGTTTGTTCTTTGAAAAATTCCTATGTTCACTGAAAAGAGATATTATTGGTAGCAGTCATGTAATCATGAGTTTAATCTTTATTAAACACCAGTTCTATGCCTGGCACATAAAAGGGAAGTACAGAGCACAGGACTGGGTAACAGGAGAACCAAGCATAGAGACTTTTCCTGAAGGTGAAGAGCAGTTAGTTACTTTTAAGAGGGTCAGTGTGAGAGCTGGGGAGAAGGAGAGAATGTTGCAGGCAGATGGAGGAACATATGTAAAACCCTGAGATGAGAAAGGGGATGCCAGGCCCAAGGAACAGACAGTAAGGCTGGAACAAAGAAAGGAAGGAGAGTCAGACTGGATGAGTCTTTATCATGAGATTCTCCAGAGCAGAATGTATATAAATCCATTTTGGGTTTTACGTACCTACTGACACTGGATGATTTCTCCTATGTGACTGTCTTGAAGATAAAGACGGAGATTAAGACAGGATGACTTTTGCCTTCATGAAATTCAATACAGAGCAGGAAAGGCAGATAATCTGGCATCTGGTGATCAACCACATTGTCATGTGTGTTAGCCACCAAGATAGCATTTAGGTGATTTATAAGGCAGTTTATCTAAGACCTAGGGATTTTGGAGAGAAAGGTAAGTATCTTCAATGTAATTTGGGTCTAGCTTCAAGAACAGTGATTGGAGTACACTGGTCTTACTAGAGTTGGCACCTCAGGGATAATAATTTCTTGATTTATGGGGGTAGGGAAAGGAGGAAAGCAGAGATTGGGAGATACTCAAATGCTATCTCTTAACAATATCAATATTTTGGAAGAGAGCACTCAAAACTGTCATTTGACAAAGATAAAATCCAGCTCTTAATCTCTTTTCCTTATTCCTAGTTTGACACATTCACCCATAGGAACACTGAACTGCTGGCTCTTTCTTGCATAATCCATACTATAATTTCTCTTTGGGCCTTTACCCATGCTGTTTCCGCTACTAGAAACTTCCCAACTTCCCCTTGACTGGTCCATTTCTTCTCATTTTCTAAGATAGGGCTCAGAAGGTATCTGTTCTAGAAAATATGAAATGATCACCCCAACTCCTCTTTTCTGGGTAAGTCATCCCTCTTTTGAGTTTTTGTGGATTTCTATGCTATTTATGTAATCCACTGTGTTATTTTGAAGTTATATGTTTATGATTCTACCTTTCCATCAAACTGAGCTTACAGAAAGCAGGAACTGTGTTCATATTTGTTTCTTGGTGCATTGTTTGGCACATAGTATTGTTAAATAAATATTTGATGAATGAAATAACAGATAAGCAAACTTACTGAGGATATTCAAACTGCAGTGGGAAGATTCAGCAAGAACACAACAGAAGTCCACAATGTGTTAAGAAATGAAATGTAGATAAAAACAAGTTTGTACTCTGTGCCTACAACAATAAAAATGGAAAGCCTACCTATACAAATTGTGGCTTAGGTATAGGATGATGAAACAGAACTGTCCAAATTGGAAATTGGCTGTTTTGGAAGGGAGGAAGAGCTCTTTATTCAATGGGAAGCTGGACATGAGGGGCCCAAGCTTTTATTGAGTCAAACTGGATAACTTTAAAAATTTTCTTCTGGTTCTCTGGCTAGATTTGTAAAAAGGCTGTTTATGTCAACATAGAGAAAAAGGAATGCATTAGGAACCTTTAGAGGAAAAGGTAGATCACTGTTGCATTTTTATTTTTAAAAACATATTTTTATTGATTTCAGAGAGGAAGTGGGAGGGAGAAAGGGAGATAGAAACATCAAGGATGAGAGAGAATCATTGATTGGCTGCCTCCTGCATGCCCCCCACTGGGGATCAAGCCTGAAACCCAGGCATGTGCCCTGACCAGGAATTGAACCATAACCTCCTGGTTCATAGGTCGATGCTCAATGACTGAGCAACACCTGCTGGGCCACTGTTGTATTTTAAAAACTTATTCTTTGAATAGATAAATCTTCGAAATAACGACTTTGGTGTAAATGCAGCAATATTTAGCCACTGTTTTGAGAGTTAACGGAGAAGATGGTGGCTCTGGCATTTACTAATATACATTGCCTTGCCCTCAAATCCACTCTGAAGAAAAAGAATAAATGAATCAAGGAGTCCACAATGAAAAGAGAGAGGTAGAGATGGGGTGTACCTGTATTTCTGGTCCCAAGGTTCCCAAAAGCTTTTGTGTTTCAAGTAAAACCAGTCTGCCAGCTGGGCCTGGCCAGTCACCAAGGTTCTTTAGAAGAGGTTCATCTGAATTCAACGAAGGAAATTATTTAAAGTGCTTTCCCATCTACCCCATTTGTTCTCTTCCGCCTTCCCATTCAGGCCCTTGCTAGCAGCCAGCGGCATTCAATGGAGAGGGGAACTTATAAAGAGGGGCAGTGAAATTACTGCCTGCCGTTCTATGGCTGAATCACTCCAGTCCCCTGACAATCATCCCAGAGCCAGCCAGCTGCAGGGCAGACCCCTGAACCTCTCTCCTCTGAGCAGCAATCTCTCCATGGGAACGGGCATGCCTCTGGCTCCCATCCTTAGATCCTGAATATTGTGACTAATTAACCAAGTGTTAATACATGACCCAGTCAATGGAAACTGCGACATGGCATGCTGGTGAGGGCAGCCCCCGTACAGAGTTCTGGGTGGGCTGCTGTTCCCTTGCAGTTGGGCAGATTCCATGACTGATGCATGAGGCTGGCATGGAGCATTCATCCTCCTCGTGCCCAGCCCTCCACATTTGCTGATTCTTGCCCAGGAGCACAAGTCCATGGCCTAGCCAAATGTACTTCCTCTTCCATGCACCACACTCCACCCCTCTCAGAAAAAGAATCAGCAAAAAGGAAAGACACTTTGTCGCTTAACTGATGATTGCCAATATTAATACAATATCCTCGGAAAAGCTCCTCTTTCATTAAAAGTGTGCTCTCCAAATGAAAATTACACCCCCCAAAAATGGGGATATAAAATAAGAGAAAAAAAACAATGATATTATAATTATATGCATTTATAGAATGTTGTATTGACCAGGAATTTCTTTAATATTTATAAGTTAAGCTACTAATTTAAAATACTGTTTAATGTAGCAATTCATTTCTAGAAGTTTATCCTAAAGAAATCAGAGATGTCTGCAAACATTTGTATTCAGTGTTGTCACAGTATTATGCTTCCAAAATAAAAAATCAAAACAAGCACAACTCACAACTACAAAAAGTTCTCAGAAAGAAGAGATGCCTGTTTTCACTTACATCCTTTAGGAGTTGTATTCACAGTGTCCCAAATTTTCTATATTAAATTGTATTTATCTGGAAGCTGCTGAGTAAAGAAGCCACCAGGAGATCTGCATTTGAGAACTGATCACTGTAGATTTGGTAGATCATCAGACTGGTAATTTGTAGAAAAGGGGTTTAATGGGATGGGTGAGTGTGGAGAGGAAGCATTTTCAATAAACAAGTAGAAAGAGAATGCCTGATTACAGCAGGCCAAATAACTAGAAGCAGTAAAGGGTGATACAGTAAAGGTAGATTACTATTTCTGTGAAATAATTTTGTTCTTAGAAAAGATATGTTGTAACGTCTGATGAGAAGGAGGCAGAGTAGAAGCGATTTTAGAGGATGGTGGAAGGGGCCTCAAGCATGTCTGTGAGCTAAAGTGAA